TGTGGGAGGGGTGAATGGCATGGGGGTAAATGTCCGGGGGGGGTGATTGTCCGGGTGGTGCATGGCAAGGGGGTAAATGTCCGGGGGGTATTTGTCCTGATACCATAGAGAGTATATATATATATGAGATTATTGACTCCTGTTGATAGATTAGCATACGTAGCGCTGTAATAACGGATAGCATGGATTGTATTACATCGATGGTTTTACTGCTCTGAAACAAATGAGATCATTGGCATCAAAAGCCAATGATCTCTTTCAACTTGATCTTTTATTAGAGCTATGCTGTCTCTTGCATGAGCACAAGTTACATGTGATATTGCAACGTGTATGTATATATGTATTTTTGCAATACAATAATAACGAATGAATATGATATATTACTCTATTATTTCTATATTTTCTAATTTGCAATTTATTCGCAAGGTTATTATGCGTCTGCGATGATGACACGAAATTGATCCGTAGGCCTACTTTGCATCGAATACCGGCAACCGAACACCAGCAGTTCGTATTGTATGTCTCACGGCACACGCTATTCGCTATTTTCTAGAAGCTTCGTCTGGAAGAAAATATAAAAGCGAATCGCTCATCTTTCGATAAGATTTATGATTTTAACTATCCTATTTACAGTCGGATGAAGAAGAGGGGAGGAGGCGGAGGAGGAAGAAGAAGAAGATGAAGAAGACGAAGTAGAAGGATCATCACCATTGTTTTACAGATCTCAACACTAGTACTTGTCCCGCTTGTTTCTTCTCGGATGAGGAGTTCCCGACTCCATGATGTACAGGGGTAGCTTCGCTACGTTTATATGACCCATGTCTTCAGTACTTTGTCAAGGCGTTATATGGAAGAAGACGAAGGATATTAAGAAGATTGAGGACGAAGAGAAGAAAGAAAGAAAAGAAGACAAAAAAGAAGGAGGAGGAGGAGGAGGAAACGTTGTATTTCAGCCAATCACTGCCTCTGCCGGCAAGCAAGATCAACCGCTTCACTGACTGAATCGTTGTAAGGAACATTTAGTGGCGATATAGCAGCTCATCAGCTCTACAGCAGCGACAGTAGATAACATGCGTGATAACGTGTTCAAATTCGCCTCGTGTTCGTTATACCGATCAGGAGCAGTCTGTCTGTTGGTGATGTGGAAATAACTAAACGTCGTAAGAATTACGTCGTGCGGCATCACGTAAATGGGTTATCACATCACAATTATTTCGAACGTAGAATTGTCATCGTTTTTGTTTACTATATGCACCTGTTGTTCGAGTTTAACGAAGATTTCCTAAGAACCTAGAATTGGTTTCGGTCCCTGACAAGTATTGGAACATAAAGTAACGTAACGTAACGTAACGCAGCGTAATGTATAGCATAGGAAAATGTATCATAATAAACTGATACATGAAATAATCTATAACGACGTTTCTAGTACTCAAACTATTATTATCATTATTTATTATCATTATTTATTATCATTATTATTATTATTATTATTATTTATATTTCATTTGCGCGCCCTGTGTGTAAGAAAGAGAGGGAGAGAGGGATAACGAAAGAGAGAGGGGCAAGGGCGAAAGAGAGAGAAAGACAGGGCGAGAGTGAGTAAGAGAGAGAGAGAGAAAGAGAAAGAAAGATGGCGAGAGTGAGTGAGAGAAAGATGGCGAAAGAAGGGGGAGTGAAAGTTGAAAAAAGAACGTGCGCAATAGAGAGATAGATGTGCGAGTGAGAGAGCGCGCGCGCGAGAGAGGGGGTGAGAGTGGGCGAAAGAGAAAGGAGGGCGAGCGAAAGATGGATAAGCGAGAGAGTGCACGCACGCGAGAGAGCGAGAGAGGGTGAGAGCGAAAGAGATAGTTAAAGAGAGAAAGACAAAGATACCGAGGGCGAGAGTGAGTGAGAGAGAGAGAGAGTCCGTGTTGTCTACAGTGGATACTAAATGCGCGTGTGATGTGTAGTACATGCAAAGAAGCCGCTTGGTCACATGACGTTCTCACGTGACCGCTGAAGCTGTGAATTTGTGTGTTGACGCTGGCGTGGCATTTCTCGTTCAGCCATTATCTGACAATGTTGTCTGTAATTTTGTATTCACGGTTATTTCTGTTGCGCGCACACGCGGAATTTATGGGACAAATGATTTTGTAAGTATTAGTAGTATAATTATAGTAGTAATATGTAAAAGTTGTATCTACATTTTCCATTCCATTACATTAGTTTGTATTAGTATTAGTTTGGAACAGCACAATCCTGAAGTAGTAATATATTATGTACTAGCTATATTACCCGTCCTCCAGATGGGTTTGAGTGGGGTCTGACTTGAGGATGGCGGTTTAACCATTTATCTCTCACTTTTAGTTGAGGATGTATTTACAGTAAACGAAAATACTGATATTTAGACTCGAGTTATATATCAATATTTGTTTGAAAAAAATTGTATCTAAATATATATAAAATCTGAAATTTTATCTTAAAATTACATACAATTTTTCCAAAAAAGGGGAATGTTTTTAGTAGCACGTTTCATAGTACAATTTCACTTATTTAGATATTATTTTTGAAAATATCATTCTGGTTAGAAGTATCATTAATAAGTCAAATTCTTAATAAAAAGGAAGCAAAATTCATTGAGTAGTTTTGAAGATATATTTTCTTGAAAGTCAGTGGACGGCGGCGGGCAGGGTTACACCTCCCGTTGTCAAATATTTGCACACACGCGCGCGCACACACACACACACGCGCGCACGCACGCACGCACACACCGCATTCACACGCGCACCCACGCACACACATACCAATTTACACACACACGGGCGCGCACACACACGCATACATACATGCATACATACATACACACATACAACTGCAGCCGTCTCTCGTTGGGGTTTGTCTTAAATTTTCGCCTCACAGCTGTGCGCGGCAGTGATTGGCTGTTTATACACCGCAGCCGCAATGTCTGGTGTGTGCGTGTGTGCGCGTGCCGGTGTGCGTTCGTGCGTGCGTGCGTGCGTTCGTGCGTGCGTTTAGTGTGGCTTGCTATGCTAGGTGAAGGCTCCACCTAATTAAATGCTTATTATTATACCTTTAATCTACATTTAGTATAGCTATATTACCATTAAAACCCGTGAGAAAACACATTAATCATTTAACACAATTTCAAAAGGTTATGGTATATATAGTGTGGTGTGTGTGTGCTCTTAGACAATCGAAACGGCGTCTAAAAATGTCAGATCATTGGTAGCCGGGTAAGCGCGGGCACGGTTACACCTCCCGTTGTCAAATGTTTGCACACGCGCACGCACGCACACAACGTATTCACACACATACGGGCATGCGCAAGCACAATCACACGCGCACCCACGCACACATATACCACATTTACACACACACGGGCGCGCACACACATACACGCACACACACACACGCACGCACGCACACAGCTGCAGCCGTCTCTCGTTGGGGTTTGCCTTAAATTTTCGCCTGCTGTGCGCGGCAGTGCTTGGTTGTTTATACATCGCAGCCGCAATGGCTTTGGTGTGTGCGTGTGTGCGCATGCGGATTTGGCGATCTTAAAATTTGGTGCGGGTTTCTGATGAATGCCGAAGTTTCTTTGGGCACATAACTTTTTAGAACATTGCCTCCAAAAGTCACTTTACGATCGAAAAATCGCGTTCTAACGTAGCGGAATGTATTCGCGACGCCCAGAAGGGGCCCCAGCTCGATTCGCGTGAGCACCCGCGGCACGGTTTCGGAGGAGATACGGAAAACGACACTTCGGCTCTTTATACTATTATATAGTAGATGTGTATATGTATAAGTTCTAGAATCACCACCTGACTATTAAGAATATATGTTTAATTAATTCTATAATAAGACTACTAGAATTAACTCCCGTTCAATTACGTTCCTTTCCCGAATGCTTCCCCTTCGCACATTCACCCCCAGACAATCATTCCCTGGACAATAAACCCACGGACAATCACCACCCGAACAATTCCCTCTCTCACATTCACCCTCAGACAATCATTACCTGGACAATATACCCACGGACAATCACGCCCCGAACAATTCCCCCTCTCACATTCACCCCCAGACAATCATTCCCTGGACAATAAACCCACGGACAATCACCCCCCCCCCCGAAAATCCCTGGTGTTAAATTTATTCTAAAACTTGGAATTTGGTCGATGCTTCCGAAGTACTTTGGTTACTATTTGTCTTTTGTTAGGTTTGCTTGAAGCGTGAATTAGCATATTATCAGGAGTGTATCAATATCAGGATATTGATACACTCCTGATATTATTATGATATCTCCTTATCCATAAGTTTGTTCAGTAGCGTTATGCATATGAGCTGAGAAAGGATTTTATCAAGGTTATATTAAATATTAAGCTATGTCAAATGAGAAATTTTAAGAAATTTTATTTCAAAATACTGAAAAAATTTACGATCATACAACTGAAATCTGTTGGACAGTGTGATATGAAATTTCAAACTATCAACGGTAGGAGAGTGGAGGAAGGGGAGAAGTGAAATGAGTGTTATTCGCAGTAGATAAGGAAGGATTTGAGAGGCTGAGAAAGTGGAGGAGAAGCAGAAAAATGGCTGTGAGAGTGTGTGGTGGGGAGTTTTGGCCTGCAGCATAACAATCGTCTTACTCCCCACTGCAGAACCTTCAATCTCTTCAACATTCACTTTTTCATTTCATTGTGCATCATGATTCGCCAGTCAGATATCCAAAAAAATTTTAACGTTGTCCTTAAGATTACATGTTCGATAAATTCTAAAGTCGTTCTACTTATTATATCAAGCACTTTATTACATATTATATGTTTCCTATAATATATATATATATTGTAGACACGCGGTTTGCATTAATTAAATCAGTTAATAATTTTATAACTCCGTTCAGATTATCNATATATATATATATATATATATATCAAGATATATATATATATGTATATATATATAATTCTAAACAAATTTTCTCCATACGTATTTCTCCTGTAACGTTACACTGTAAGGAAATGTGGGGCTTATCTCAGCTATGCAATCCTAATTAAACTTCATTAGATTATCCATCATATTTTGACAGTCAGAAAAGCTAACAAACCTCTACGTTTCATAAATGTGCTCTTAAGCTCTTAATAAGTTAAAAATCTTGTTACTTATTATATCAAGTACTTACTCAATTGTCTGTCATTTATTTCCTCATTGTTATTGATATAAAACATCTTTGCAATGGGAATTGTTGTCTAGGAGCAGCCTGTCTGATCATAGCGCCGCCTATCATCACAGCACTCGACGCCCCCTGGTGAGACCATAACTCTCTACATCAAGCTCGTCGCCCTCTGGTGAGACCACAGCACTCTACATCAAGCTTAGCGCCCCCAGGTGAGACTATGACTTTCTACATCAAGCTTAGCGCCCCCAGGTGAGACTATGACTGTCTACATCAAGCTCGTCGCCCTCTGGTGAGACTATGACTCTCTATATCAAGCTTAGCGCCTCCATGTGAGACTATGACTGTCAACATCAAGCTTAGCGCCTCCATGTGAGACTATGACTTTCTACATCAAGCTTAGCGCCCCCAGGTGAGACTATGACTCTCTACATCAAGCTTAGCGCCCCCAGGTGAGACTATGACTTTCTACATCTAGCTTAGCGCCTCCAGGTGAGACTATGACTTTCTACATCAAGCTTAGCACCCCCTAGTAAGACCATGATCTCTACATAAAGCTTGGCGCCCCCTAGTGAGACCATGACTCTTTTTATCAAGCTTAGCGCCCCCTGGTGAGACCATGACTCTCTATATCAAGCTTAGCGCCTCCATGTGAGACTATGACTCTCTACATCAAGCTTAGCGCCCCCAGGTGAGACTATGACTTTCTACATCTAGCTTAGCGCCCCCAGGTGAGACTATGACTCTCTACATCTAGCTTAGCGCCCCCAGGTGAGACTATGACTCTCTACATTTAGCTTAGCGCCTCCAGGTGAGACTATGACTCTCTACATCAAGCTTAGCGCCCCCAGGTGAGACTATGACTCTCTACATACATTTATAATAAAGAAACAATTTTGTTCAAGTGGCAGCTGAAGCTGTGAATTCGTGTGTGTTGAATCTGACATGGTATTTCTCGAGCAGCCATTATCGTACAATGTGTTCTGTGATTTTATGTTTATTGATTAATTATATATTGTATAAAAATTAATATAATATATAATACATATATATGTAAATTGTTGATGATTAAAATATCGATATATTAATTGATTATATAATAATATATATCAAGAATTATTAATCTTAGTGATAATATACTAATACGGATGTGTTTATTTATACATTAGATTTGATTTTGTCGTTTCCATGGAGAATCACTGACGGGTCACCACTTTCCAATTAAAGAAACTGCTAATTAAGAACAAAGGTAGTTATTCATTTACTAGTTTCCGTGTCACAAAATTCCCTGAAATTGGGAGATTATGTATCATTAATTATATATTAATATATATATATCGAGATATCGAGATTTTTTTAATTCTATGAATAATGAAGACTTTGAATATGGTAAATTTAGTTAGCCACATTTTTCTATGCTGGTTACTGTAAAGTTATAAGGACAGACGAGAATTGCCGCAGCTATGCAAGCCTAATTAAGTAAAAATGCACTTTTTTTATTTGATTGGACGCCATATTTCGCCAATCATAAATCCAATAAATTTTCACGTTTCGTAAACATTGCTCTTAAGCTTACATGTTTGAATAATTTGAAAATCATTCCACTTATTGTATCAATTACTTAATCAATTGATGTCATATGTTTCCTCATAGTTAATTATATGAAAAATCTTTGCCTTGATGTAGTGTGAGGGCCTCTCTTACGCCCTGTAGAGGAATGCCGCAGAAGAGGAGAAGCAGAAGCAGAGGAGGCAGAGGGAGCATGATGCACACCGATTCGCGTCGTGGGACTTCCTAGACATTACCATCGTAACTGACGGCTACAGTGTTTTATACTGATATTCCACGTGTTTTTTAGACAAATTTGTTGTATTTTATACTAATCGTTTATTGTAAGTAAAGTTCAATCCCATACATGTATGAGAATGTGGTCTCGCGTTTTATGTGTACGACAGCGGCCTGTTGTCAGAAATTCTCATTTCATGCTCATTCAACTAGAACAACTAGCTCTGGAACTAGAACAAGTAGCTATAGAACTAGAACAAGTAGCACTAGAACTAGAACAACTAGCTATAGAACTAGAACAAGTAGCACTAGAACTAGAACAACTAGCTCTGGAACTAGAACAACTAGCTCTATAACTAGAGCAAGTAGCACCCTGATTGTAATCCCATGCATGTGCGTACACGATTGAAATGCTTTCAAATAAATATACTCCAAATAAAACGCCCGAGATTCCTTTTTATATATGGTGTTATTAATTATTCAAAGGCTATCAACAATACTTTTCTGCAAAATCATCAAATAAATTGTAACATACACTGTTAAGAAGTTTGCAATAGATCATTGGTAGTTTNACACACACACACACACAAACACACACAAACAAATTCACACACACTCACACACACATACACAAACAAACAAACACACACACACAAACAAACAAACACACACACACACACACAAACAGACAAACACACACACACACACACACCACACACACACACTCTCTCTCTCTCTCTTCTCTCTCGTTCTTACTCTCTCTCTCTCTCTCTCTCTCTCTCTCTCTCTCGCACGCACACACACACATACGCAAGGCTATTGGGTCTGTTAGGACTAATTTTGTGTCTGACAACCGGCCCCAGGAACAAGATAAACGCAAGATATACTTGCAGTAGGAGCGTGCTCTAGGATTGGTGGGTCTAATAAATAAATCTAATAAAATCTAATAAAATTGAATCAATCTAATAAACTAATAATCTAATAAAATTGTTAAAAACTAAATCAATCTAACAAACAATCTAATAAAATTGAGCGAATAATAATTATTTAATGGGCGCAACCGTTTTCGGAGGGGAGGATTCAGTAACCACACATTACATTTGCATATTTATTATTTTTTAGTTGTTCATATTTCCCAATTGGTCTATTTTTGACTTCGGTTATGTAGTGTTCGTAGCTACGAGAGCCTCACACACTAAGGCCTAACCTCCCACGGTTTGAATGAGCCTGGTTCAGCTGGTGGAAACTAAAAAATAAAATAAAAGATACACATCATATAAATTCACACAAATTTCACATGAATAAATGTAAGCCATTGAATATACATATAGAGTATATGAAATCCTCGCGGCCATACACACGCACACACACACGCACTCACGCACGCACGCACGCACGCACGCACGCACGCACGCACGCACGCACACACACACACACACACACACACACACACACACACACTAAACAATTGTTATCCAGTGCGCGAGGGATTTAATTACTAACCATTCGAGTGAATTCATCAACGCAGCTCATGCGAATTCTCTCCGACGTCGCGGGAGAGTCTAACCGGAAGTGGCCGGCAAGCTTGGCATCCATCCTCGCAGACGCGATCGCATTTTTAATAGCGAAGAAGACAGATGAGGCAAGCAACAGCGGTGGCTCTCCGATCGCCTACACACAGAATAATAGGTCTTCGCTTGATGCCATCGCTTCGTATAATGTTCGCTTTACAAGCGTTACATTGATGTAAGCGTTACATTATATATGCAGTCTCTCGTTAGTAATTAATTTACCGTGACGCGTGGAAGAAATGGAGCGTATTTTCTGCTCCCTTATACGTGATAATCTCAACCTCTATAGCAGCGGATGCTCAGCGCGTTTGTAGGTAGAAGGAATACGAATGATCGCATTTTCACCTTGGATGAGTAAACAGCTTTATAATTAGGGCTGGGTGAATCTCTCAATAGAGAGACGTTAAATTCCGCTGGAATGTCAGTAAAACCAGGGATCTTGTACATGCCAGGCCCGCGCGTGTACATCAAACCTATGACAAAAACGAAAAGTTATTAAATACTACTATACTATAACAAGTTACTATAACTACTGAGAATTGTCACGTCATCATAACGCTTATCGCGTATCCCCATTTTTGCCTAGATTAAGTTGTACTGTTTCTGATTAGAGTACCTTAATAAGTTGGACAAATTGTCATTTCTGAATTATATATTATTGGTGCACTTCAAAAAACTGAAAAACTTCAGAAAATATCAGTGAATAACCGGACAAAGAAGATGCCAAACAAATGCATCGAATTTCGGGGGTAGGTCCGAGTTTCTGCAACCTTCTGGCGAGTATCGCAGTTCTTCCAGTGTGACGAGACCATAGCCTTGCATAAACGCTCCTTCGATTTGTCCGATGTCTATCGCAGGGTTTAAACTCTTGCCGACGTCTACAACAATGTCCGCTCGTAGAACCTATAGGTACATAAACGGAAGCATCGTCAGCATCGAGTTCATGCATTATAGCTGCAGACGATAACGAGTTGTTTCGTATGACGTCATGGTAATGGTGACGTATTACACAAATTACAACGCGTTACTCGAGATGAAAGTTGGATGACGCAGCATCACTGACGAATCCCATCTGTAAATCGAGGGTTTTCTGTGCTGAGAAACAGAGTTGAGAGTGGCGAACGAACACAGAGGAGAGAGAGGGGCGGAAGCCATGGGAGTGGAACAGGGAGAGGAAAGGAAGATAGCATGGAAGGAAAGATATAAAAGGAGAGAGAAGAAACGTGGAAGAAGGAAATGCATGCATGGCGGGAGGACAGTGATTTGGCGGTCAGACGAGGTGAAGATACTCATTCTCTTTCCAGCATTTTGTCTTGGATTCCTGTTCAGAAGTTAATTTTTACCTGATGATCACCTGTCAGACAGTCTATTTCTACCTCGGTGCAGGCCACCCCGTAGGTGTAGTACAGGAATGGCTGACCTTCGCCCTTGCCCCAGTCCATTCCTTTCACGTCAGGTCTTGATAATCATACAGGGAAAATCGCAGTTGTAAAACATGCATCTGAGATGTACAGAGATCCATTACGCAAATAATTTAAACATGAGTTGATAATTTGACACGAGTTGTTATATTTACTGCGCAGTTATTAGTGTGTGACGAAGATACCTCTGCCGCATATATAGGGCTACATACGAAAATTATTCTATTGAGTGTAAAATGTTGCATAACTCACGCATAGAATCCTGACGCTGTTAAGCTGACGCGATCCAAGTATGCCATGGATACCTACGAAACATTACTCGTCAATTTGTATGAATATTAGCCAACCGTACGTTCTTGGTACGTTGTATCAACGACGATAGTTTCAATATCGAATTATCACTACGTTAATCAATACTAATATTAATCCTGCACATTTCTGGTGAACGGTTTTACATTTCGCATAGTTTCACACACATTGTGCATGATTGGTAAAAAATGCGTGCGACTCATAATTCTAGTGACGAAGAAGTTTGAATGAATCAACACGATTTTCTTATAATCTGCATATTTACCCAATCGTCCCAGCATCCGTTTGGTTTTGCCTCTTTATACGGCTTCAATCTGTGAAGTAAAATCTCACAGGCGCGCTGCAAGGAAAACCACTAATATAATAAATTCATACACGTGTGTTTGTAAAATAGTGATAAGAATCCTGATTCATTAATACATAATATAATTAAGATGAGAAAAAGAGTAAGATAATAGACGATTTCCGCATCACTTCACTCCCGGTGGCAATGTATTACGGACGTATTATTTTGCCCGACTAATAAAGAAACAAGCAATTTCTAAAGCTGGGTTTAATCGGCCAACCATGATCGCCATTCCGTTTAGATCGGAGCTGAAGCTTCCAGCGGTGGCGCTAGTGTTCGGTACTTTGTCGGTAGCAGTCTCACTGATGAAGATGCGGTCTGTAGGAATGTCCAGGCATCTGCTTGCAACCTGGAGCCCAATGTCAGAAACAAAATTAGTCTTAACATCAGTATTAACATTAACTTTGATTCGTAGACCGTTGACAGAAACACACATGCACGCGCGCATGCGCGCACACACAGCACGCGTGCGCACACACACACGCGCGCACGCACGCACTCACGCACGCACGCACGCACACGCACACGCACACACAAACACACGCACGCACGCACGCACGCACACACACACACACACACACACACACACACACACACACACACACACACACACACAC